GACGATAATAATAAATAATAAATAAATAAATAAATTTCCATGTATTCAACACTCCAATGGTAGCTAGATTTGTATTAAGAGTAGAAAACGGTATAAAAGACTGGGGGACAGTTTAGCAACAGAGAGTATGGTCAGCATGCTGGAGACCTTGGGGGTTCAATCCCTTGTATCAAATAAGTAAAACCAATGTGAAATCTTTGTATGGTCCATGAGAACATTAAACAATTCATTAAATCCAAAGTCTCTCTATTTATGTTGCTCAGTAACCTATTCCATTAAAAAAAAAAAAAATTCTTCAGTCTAGATTTGCATAGAATTGATTTGTTTGTGCTTTTAATATAATTAACTATGGAAATGTCCCCAAAATAAAACCAGTTCTAACAATTAAACTTATATTTTACTTTAAATATTCCAATTTTAAAATGTTTCATTCAATGCTCTGGAAAGAAAAAACTGAAGATCAGACCAAATTTTATACAAGTTAGATGCTCAGTCCCTATGCACACAACATTGTACATTTGTTCCACAAGCACACTAACCACATTAGGGCCACTGACAGCGAGCCCATACAAAACTTTAGAAACAACTTTAGGATTAAATTGACTCTTACTGGTGATAGGAGTTGCATTGTTGGGTGTGTCGGCTCTCAGATACTGAGTCGTCTGGGTGGACGGCTGAGACAGCCCTTGGGAACTACTGCTGGCACTGATGCTGCAAATTATTTTTAAGAGAGAAACATTTGACAAGTGAATCTCAATGAGAAGTTTCTTTACTGTACATGCAAAATGTATGCAGCCCTATGACCTGCCTAAAATTCTGATAGAGATCACAATATACCATGCATCCCTATCAGGATGCCATAATGAAATCTTAATCTCATGAATGACAAAATTTTAACTATAAATGTATTATTTTACATGCATCTCCATCACAAGATAGAGCTCTATTTTGTCATTCATTTCTATCTCCAAAAATCACCAAGCACATCATTTTAACAAAATTACTCAGAAATGCTCAGAGATCATTTCCTGAACCACACATAGGATACATCAGAGAACCAAGGCTCACCTCTCAGGAAAAGAGCCCATGCCATTCGGTTAAATTGTTTTTCAGAAAAGGAGCAGAAAGACAAGCCCCTTCACGTAACAGCTTCAAATCAAACAGACTTCAGATGAAGGGCCCACAAACAAACCAACGGGCCATGCTCAGAGCTTGGGAAGAAGCACCGTATCTGCTTCAGGTTTGGCGTCTCATATGCGTTTGCCTCTTCTCCCCTATTCCACTTTTTCAGAATTCACAATTCTCAGAAATCTCTAGTTCTTGAAACATACTATATTACACTTTCCACACAAGAGGAGACTCTGAAGCTGGTAGGCTCAAATAACTGTTAATCCCGTGTTTGAGATTACTATAAGTCAATGGTTCCCAACTGCAGCCTTCCACTTTTTAGTGGTTATAGGTCACATTCCAGTCTTACTGCCTTAGCCTTCCACTGTAGCAGTTTCAGAAGTAAAGCAAGAAACTTAGCATGAAGAGTAAAACCAGATGCAAGTTAGGACTTCCATGCCTCTCCTAACTATGGAATCAGTAGAGCCCAATCAAAGGCTCCAACTTTCCTAATCTTTCAGCTGGCTGTCCTTCATACCGTATCTCTGCATTTTCAGAAACTTCTGATTAAAGCAAAATCAATTATTAATGATAAAAGGCTGCTATTTAATCCGGAACACATATATAAATTTGTACTTTATCCATTTCAAGAGCCCAAATATACATGTGGAAAATGTAAATACATAAAACATCTAAGTAATGAGTATTGTAAGCCCCATATGTAGCCTTTTTACCACTAATAATACAATTTATTATATGTACTTATATGTATAATATGCTATTGTAACTAAAGCACCTGTAATATGTCATAGTAAATGTATACAAATGTCCTGCAATAAACATTTGGAGAGCATTTATATATAGACAAATCATTGTGCTCAATATAACACCCATATGAAAAATGCCTGTCTAATGAATGCCCTCAGCATGCCTTCCCTTGAGAAGCTTATCGTTTCAGATTATTTTTTCTTGCTGTGGGCCTGCAGTCAGCTCTGTTTCCTAGCACCTTTGCTGAAAGTACATTGCAATTCAAAGATTTAACAAAGATTCATCAGGCCATTGTGTGGTCAGAGTTCTGGAAGAATTTTAAGTTATTCAAGTAGTGATCTATGTGAGTTTACTTGGTAGTAAATAAATGGAGAACATAAACCTTAAAATCCTAACTGCCAGCACCAGCAATACTAGCTGCATGACTCAGGGGAACCAGTTTATTCAGTCCTTCTGGAGCCTCAAACTCCCATGGATAGAAGGAGCATAATACTACCCCAACAAGACTGCTTAGAGGGTTAGATAGAAGATGTGTAGGTAAAGCACTGAGGACACTGCTCTTGGCCCTCAGACACTTACAAATTAGTATTAATTTATTTTATTATTATCATTAGGTATCCCCAATCCTTAGAAAGATAAGGAACTATGGGGATGTGTTTTTGCAGGTGTACCTACTACTCAAGGATCACAGTAGAAGTCAAAGCTGTTAGTTCAATGTTCAGTAATGGGGAGGGAGGAGAAGCATTCCCACCTCAAAGCAAAAGAAATGAACTTCCCCATGATTGAAGAAAGAAAAACATAACTCACAGGAGTTTTATGGTGCTCAGTTATGATACATATGAAAGAAAGTACAACGAATATTCCCTGGGACCAGCATCACCTATGGCTGAGAAACGCAGACCCTGTTCCTCCCCAGCAATTGAACAGTAGGCAGCACTCTGTGTCACCTAAGAATTTTTTAGACTGAGCACAGGCAACTGTGTGGGTATGTATGTCACATTTTCATTTGCTTAATAGGTATTAGGTGGGAAATGAGCAAAATACTATGTTAAGTGGACAGAACATATTTTCTTTGGAAGCCAAGGCTTAATATATGAGAGAGGCAAGGGACAGGTGGAAACCTTCCCAATGCTCATTAAAGCCCTTACCTTCGTGGCTACGTCACAGGAGGAGGAAAGGGAGATTAAAAATCTACATTTGCTAACAAATGTAGTTTGTTAGTTTAGATAAATTAGTTTATATAAATTTGATTTTCATAAGAAAGTAAGGTTGTTTGGGGAGACATTAACCCTGCTTTAGGATAATAAGTGAAGACTTTAGGCAAAGATCTTCCAAATACTGAAATTCATACCCTTCTATTTTTTTATGTGATTCATTCGTTTATTCAATCATTCAACAAAGATTTTTCAAGTATCCATCGCATGACAGGTACTGTGCTGACTGCTAAGGGCACATCAGTGGACACAGTAGAGATCCCCACCTTATGCTCTAGCTGGGACTTCTTGCTCAATGTCTGTCTTACCATAGCAGACCATAAGCTCTATGAGGGCAGGAAAAGCACTTGTTCATTCCCTCTACCCTCTCCAACACACCAGTGCCTAGCGCAATAAGCCCAAATGGGTCCAACTAAACCCCTGTGAGGGCTCAAAAACCAGTGTCAACAATCAGTGAAAGTGAAACCACACTTTGATGGACTAGGAAGACACAAACAAGACAGAAGGACTTCATACATATTAGAGAGAAAGAACTATTTGATACAGCAAAATGGTTTTCTTTTTTCGTTTTCTTTTGTTTTACTTTTGGCTTCTATTCATGCTTCATTCAAAGGAGTTACTAAGCATATTACTATGTATGGAAGTCTGTTACAACATAAAGTACAGAAGCAAATACAGAAATAAAAGACTTTGTCACTAGTATAGTAAAGGTAGTGGGGTGGTGGAGAAAATAGAAACTAGAAAAGAAGAAGAAAAATACTGCCAAATAATATGTTCAAGCATCTCACAGGAAAAACAATTAACTTGTTCCCAGTCACAAACTAACAGGGAAGACCACAGAGCAAGTGGGCTGCAGACCAAGCTCTCCCTGTGGGAGAACTTTAGGGTAAATTTGACAGATGCTCTCCACCTCTTCAGGACAGGCTTACCTGGTACAACACAGAGACTACAGAGCAATCTGCTGTGCTGGGAGGGGAAAAGCCACATTCACTGGCTCCATGTACCTCTAGTGTGAGGATATCCGAGGTAGCTTTGGTCTCTGCCTCCTGGGTCCTTGCAATAGAAGAGCTCTCTACTACCCTAAAGGAGTTCCATTAAACCTCACAAGAGAGACCTCCTCCATCAGGGTAGCTGCTGGGAACTCAGCAGACGACCAGAGTGTGCTGGGTTCTGGCCTCCCTCTGGCCTCCAAATACCAGAGGGCCTGAGAAGTCAGGGGACAGCCTGACAGCCCCCATCCTGCTTCCACATGGTAGTGAGCTTCCCCTAATTGCACCATACCATCCCCCCTACCTGGGATTTGGTGAGGCCCCTCCCAAGGCGCCAGGGCAGACCTGCCTTTGGTAGGCTAAGGCTGGGAACTCAGCAGACCAATAGAGAGTGCTGAGTTCTGGCTCCCTTCTGGCCTCCCTCTGGCATAGGTTGACAACACACAGGACTGTCTGAGAGATCCTGGATACTGCCACCACATGGTGAAGGAAGCCTGAGTGTACCTGACTGGAATAGCTGATCTGAAGCCATGAGTTCCCTCCAAAATAAACCTGAGAGAACCTGAACCCTGTACCAACCAGCTTTACATAACCAATAAAGAAAGGATAATACAAACAGAAGCATACTTCAACTTAATTCTCATATCAGAATCATAAACAATAAAAGAAATTCACATACCAAAATCACAACGAAAGCATAAAATGGAAAGCCAAAACACTATGTCCCCACAAAACCCCAACAATCCTGTAGAAGAGTTCTACAAGGAGAACCCCCTAGAGATAACCCAGGACACTGAATTTAAAAGAACAATCATAAACATGATCAAGGAATTCAACAGTTAAAGAACACACGAACAAACAAATCAAAGCACTAAAAGAAGATAGGGATAAACTTCTATGAATTCACACAAAAAAAACACTGCAGAAAACCCAGGCAGAAATGAAGAAGGAAGTGCAAAACTCAATAAGCCAGCTTGAAACAACAGGGGAAAGCCTCACCTCTAGAATGAATGAAATGGAAAAGAGTATTACTGGAGGATAAAATTGAAGAACTGGACCACTCAAGCACAGTGTATGGAATATTTAAAAAAACACAGGAATGGAATATGCAAGAGATGTGGGACACCATGAAAAGACCAAATCTACGGATCATAGGAATAAAGGAGAAGAATTTCAGGAAAATGGTGTTGACCAGATCTCAAACAAGATTGTAGAAGAGAATTTCCCAACATTAAGGAACGACATTCCCAGAACACCAAATAGGATCAGAAAAGAAACTCCCCACGACATATCAGTAAAAACACTAAATGTACAGAACAGAGAGAGGATACTGAAAGCAGCAAAAGAAAAACAAGTCACATACAAAGGAAAACCCATCAGAATCACAGCTGACTTAGCAATGCAAACTATGAAAGCCAGAAGAGCCTGAACCAAGGTATTTCCAGTTCTACATGACAACAGATGCCAGCCCAGAATACTTTACCAAGCAAAAATGTCTATTATATTTGAAGGGTAAAGAAAAATCTTCCATGACACGAAAAGCCTGGAAGAATACATGTCCACAAAACCAGCCCTTCAAAGAGTACTTGAAGCAATACAGTGAACAGAGACAGAAACAACTATACCCCAGAGG